ACTGATAGAAAGACTTCACATGGCATTCCAAGCCAATATCAAGAATTTCAAGATGTATTCAAAAAAAAGAATGCGGATACACTCCCGAAACATCGTCCCTATGATTGCTCAATTGACCTTCAAGAAGGAGCACAACCGCCATTCAGACCAATCTACAGTTTATCACAAAATGAGTTGACTGAACTCAAGGAGTATATTGAAGAAAATCTAGCCAAGAATTTCATATGCCATTCCAAATCTCCGGCAGGAGCTCCAATTCTATTTGTGAAGAAAAAAGATGGATCATTGCGAATGTGTGTTGATTATTGAGGACTCAACAAGATTACTATCAAGAACAAGTATCCACTACCTTTAATATCTGGAATTCTTGATGAGCTAAATGAAGCTAAGATCTATACAAAAATAGATCTCCAGGGAGCATACAATCTAGTACCCATCAAAGAAGAAGATGAATGGAAGACTGTGTTTTAAACTAGGTATGGTCATTTTGAATACAACGTCATGCCTTTTGGACTTACAAATGCATCAGCAGCTTTTCAACATCTAATGAATGATGTTTTTTGAGAATTTTTGGACGATTTTGTGGTCTGTTATCTAGACGACATCTTGATCTATTCTAAGAATCGAGAAGAACATGAACTTTATGTTCGTTGTGTGTTACAAAAATTAAGAGATGCAAGACTCTATGCCAAGATAGAAAAGTGTGTATTCGACACTACTCAAGTCGATTTCTTAGATTACATCATTTCAAATGATGGACTTATGATGGATCCTAAGAAAGTTCAAACTATTATAGATTGGAAGATCTCAAAAACAGTAAGAGATGTCCAATGTTTTTTGAGATTTACCAACTACTATCGAATCTTCATCAAGGACTTCTCTCGAGTTGCAGCTTCACTTACACATTTGACTTGTAAAGACAAACTCCAATGGAATCAAGAAGCGGAAGTTGCTTTTGAATCTTTGAAGATAGCATTTGTTTCTGCATCAATCTTGTATCGTGTTGATTTTTCCAAAGCATTCTTTATGGAAATAGATGCATCAGACTTTGTTCTGGGTGTGGTTTTATCACAAATGGGAACAGATGACAAACTTCATCCAATAGCCTTTCATTCAAGAAAATTCTCAGTAGCAGAAATCAATTATGAGATCCACGACAAAGTCTTCTTGTAATTATGGATTCTTTTCAAGAATGGCATCATTATCTAGAAGGCGCTTCCAGTCCAGTCACCGTGTATACGGATCACAAGAACCTCAAGTATTTTATGTCTGCATATATATTAAATCATCGTCAAGCTCGTTGGAGCATGTCTTTATGATGATTCGAATTCATCATCACTTATCGGCCAAGAAAACAACAAGGTTTGTTCGATGCCTTGTCTAAACATTCTTATCTTGTACCAAAAGAAGGAGATGCAACTTTTGAGCAACAAAGAATGGTTCTCTTGAAGTTGGAGCAATTTCATCTTCGAGCAATAAAATCAACATTGACTATTGATTTAACTTTTCTCAAGCAAGTCCAGTTAAGTATGTCTTCAGATCCTATTCTTCATGATATCAAGAATAATTCTTCTAAATCTCATGATCATTCTAAATTCGAGTTCAAGAACAACCTACTCTATTTTGAAGGATGCTTATATGTTCGAGAAGGAGAAGCACGTTTACATGTTCTTCAAGCTCATCACAACTTCCCAGCAGCATGACATTTTGGATACAATAAGACTTTGGAGCTCATATCTAGAGATTTTTGGTGGCCTCAAATATGGAAGGCAGTCAAATATTTTGTATAATCATGTAATATTTGCTCAAGATCAAAAACTCCTTGTCATCGACCTTTTGGACTTCTTTAACCATTATCCATTCCAGAACAACTATGGTCTTCTATTTCTATGGACTTCATCACAGATCTTCTAAGCTCATGTTCTTATGACTTTATATTTGTGATAGTAGATCACTTCACCAAGATGGCATATTTTGTGCCATGTACAAAATCTATCATAGGTGAAGAAACAGCTAAGCTTTTTATAGATCTATCGCTGTCATGGGTTACCAAAGGATATTATATCAGATAGAGGAACTCAGTTTGTATCAAGATTTTGGAGAACCCTTTTTAAGATTTTAAAAGTGGATATAAAACTATAATATAATATAGAAAAAGGCAATAATAAAGAGTTTGAAATGGAAGAAGTCTTAGATTCAAGGTGGCACCAAAATAAATTGGAATATCTTGACCATTAGCACGAATATGATATTAGTAAACGCACATGGGAGCCAGTAAAGAATCTTGCAAATACAGCAAAGGTGGTGGAGGCTTTTCATCGACGACATCCATCAAAATCAAGATGAAAACCTTCTTTATAAAAGAAACAAGATCTAGGCAAGATATCATTCTACTTTCAATCCTTGTTTGTAGCTTCTTTGTAGTTGTGACGCTCAAAAGATGGAGAACCAACAACCAATGGATTTGACTCAAGAGCCTTCGTTTGCTTTTATGCCAGACGAGACACTACGATTGTTTCAACCTTCAAGACGATGCAATCGAGATAAAGATCTTTAAGAACGTCATGTTCTTCCTCAAATAGATGACAAAATACAACGTGTTTGGTATCACGACTTTGGAAGGGACTCCCAATGTTTGGTGATTTTACTAGAGGTAGGAACAACTCCTGATGGTGTTCCAAATGTTTTATTGGAAGGAAGTTAAAAAGGCTTCAACAATGATCAAATAACTGGGTGGTCGTCCTACCTTGGTATGGAACACTACCGATGGTTGAAAGGCCCTATCAATCATCTTCGAAGAGAACAAAGATCAGAGTATGTGGCGAATACAATTCATCACATCATAGATTTTTTCAACATATAATGACCGCTCTTCGTGGAACTCATCTCTAGAAGGGGAGGTAATGTCATGGACATACACATGTAAGCCAATAATTACATGTATAAATAGATAGAAGTAAGTAAAAGTAAATAAAAGTAAGTTAATTCTATAGTATTTGGTATGGAAGCTTCCTAAAAGCTTCATAGACGCTGCTTTGACTTTAAAGGTGTCTTTAATTGACTTTTTGGATTAGAAACGTGGTCAATAAGTTGGCCATGTACCACACATGTTGTTAGCTTGAAGACCAAGCTAACTATATAGCCCACACGTAGAAAAACTTGCCTTGTAAGTCAAGGCATGTGTATTACAAAGTCAACACATATTGGAGGTCCTATAGAACATCGCCATATAGCCTCTAATTAGATAGTATATATAGAGACAAGAGTGAAGCCTTCTTCACTCTTATCAACTCGTTTCTTGCTTCTAGTCTAGTTTCAAGAGTCTCTAGTTTTCTTGTCTTTTGGCAATAGCCATTGCAGTTTCTCTTTCAATATACATACTTGTTTATTTATATTTTGTTACCTTTCTTTGAGTGAAGGCTCACTTGTCTGAATTGCTTTTTCATCAAGTTCTTGCCCTTGACAATACTTCAACTTCTTTGCATGTTCTTTGCATGTTCTCTATGGATCTTATTCAATAATTATGGTATATCTAAATGAATATTGTTCTAGTACTAGAATAGACCATGATAATTCTATTTTTGTAAAGTTGCAAGCTGATAGTTCTACAAGAGATGTAACAAATGAATTGTAGGTGACTCAAAGTCATGTTGTATAAATTAAAAAGAAGAGATTGTCTAATCTTTGAACTTATAGTAGTGGTAAACTACAAGTTCTCACAAATGTATAGAAGAGAATATGTTTCAAAGCTGCTACATTAGGAGGTATTGATGTTGTAACATAGGTTGTCTAATATGTGCATAGAAAATGTCAAGTTTCTATTAGTATTGATTTGGTAAGAAGGGTTTTATATGTTGTTGGGCTTAAATCAAAAGTGAAGTAGAAGAAGCCAAAATTGAACCAAAAACAAATTAAGGAGTGACTTAAATTTGCTAGACACCATGAACATTGGATCATTTGTATTATGAATATATTATCTTGTCTAATGAGACACAAGTAAATTGATTTTTCTCAAATGGTCATAGTTGGTGCTGGATTCGTGATAGACAATCTTATGATTTAAGACAATTTTAACAGACAATAAAATTTGGTATAGAGTTACATGATGTTCCAAGGCCTTGGCATCATTTGTAGAATTGAATGAAGAATAATTCAACATCAATACAAAGAAATCTTGTAGAGATATTTATTTTATACTATAATGGCTTATGATCTCCATCCCTCCCATTTAATTTTTCAACATGATAACAATTCCAAACATACAACAAAAAATATCCACCAATAGTTGAAATCACAAAAGTTTAGTGTTTTTCAATGGCTTGTATAGTCTCTTGATCTAAATCTAATTAAGCATCTTTGGATAAGGCTAAAACGCCATTTTAATCAATATCAAAGTGCTCCAATATGAATTTTAGAGTTGTAGGAGTGTATTGAGGAATGTTGGACTTCTATTGCACCAAAAGAGTGAAGAAGATTGTATGAAAGCATGCCAAAACAAATTCAAGCTATTTTAACTAGTTAAGGTAGGTGGACAAAGTATTAAGTTGTTTTATGATGGACAATGCCTAAATGAGTTACAAAACATAGTTTTTGTTGCACATGATTTTCTTGTACATATTTATGTAAAAGAGACATTTTTTCATAAAAGTATAGCCTACTCAAATTATTATCTTATGCAATTTATGATTTGTGGTGATCTGTTACCAATTTCTTGACATTGTTGAATCAAGAATTATATAAATTAAACTCAGTTTTACTACATATTGTGTAACTATTGCTAACACCTTGAAGAAGTGCCTAGAATAATTTAACATAGAACTCAAGGTAGAAAGACACAAAGACAATTAGGGCAAAGGTGATGTGTGAAGCAATGAACATGGTCATTACTCAAGTCACATAATGAGTTGATTTGAGATTTAGGTAGGCAATTTACTATTCCCTTGGTTGATAAGAATAATATTTAGTACACAGATCTTGCTGAAAATCCAGCGCACTAAAGAAGCACTAAACATTTTGACATTTATCATTTCTTTATGTAAAAAATGTCCAGTAAAACTCATACAAAACCAAAGGCAAGTGCAAGAAAATATCATAATATCTACAAATGCAGTACCAAGTTCATGACACAAAACAATGTCCTGATTTGAAGAGGCATACGCCCATGAAGTTTCAACTTTCCCCTCTACTTCATGTCTTATTCACACTTGAGCGAGATGATGTTGAGAACAAAGACGTAGCAACTACCCTTCACTCAATCCAAGCAACTGAAATTTACCACAAGATCACCGTTGTCTGCTTTACCAATCTATCCCCTGTATCGTTAGCCAGCTGCATAATCAAGCCAAGTTAGTTTCTAGGTCTACAAATCAGGAACCATAGCAACAGTCACAATATAATAATCTGTACCTAACGGCAAGCCGTAGGGGTTGTGAGAAGCCTTCGCTCGAGCAGGAGTCAACATTGTTCCAGCTCCAAGTTCAGTTCCCTGTACGCTTCCATCTGAACTGCCAGCCAAGAGTGGTGGAGGGGGAGGAGCAGGAATGACAACCTTCCGATCGATGTGAACTATCTGACCCACAACATATGGCGACCCACTGGGAAGTCCCTGCTCTTGGAAAAGAGCAATAGATTCTCCAGACAGATAATAATGAGGGCGATTGTGGTTAATGGCTTCAAAATGACCATTCGCATTTTGAAGGAAGACAGCAAGCCCATGAATCTCGAACCGCGTGAAGCAGATCTTCTCTTTACTTGCCTGCCAACCAAACCAATGAGGTTTCGTTAGTACATCGCTCCGTACCGTTAAGGTCGTCCGTGTGACCGAATCTGAGTATACTCAAATGATGATATTTGTTCGTGTACGGTTCTAATATTTAGATGTTAATGCGATTAAGTTCTTGAACAAGAAAGTGTTTCCAGAAGGTCAAAGAGACGTCTCTTAGACCTTTCCGTATAAATCGGCTATAAAAATTTAGGATATTTCAGCAACATAAAATCTTTTGCTCTGCTCAAGACACTAGTGCAACTACAGCCACAAATAAATAGAAAATATCAGTGAATCATCTACGGCTGTTAACACCTCCATTACAAATGTAATGAAAATACTCCATTATGAGCACCGATTATTAGACCATCCTAATTCCACAGTTACTGAACGCTTACAAACTTCACAGCATCTAAAAAGATATGTAATGCCATTAAAACAAAAGATCCAGAATTTGAGTAATATTTACGAAAGAGGATACCCAAATCAGTAAATTTTCAAAAGAGGTATTGCCAATTGTACCTGCTTGTCAAACTTGCGTTTCGAATAAAGATTTTTCAGAAGCTCAGCCTGATTCTCAAGATCCTTTTTTAGATGGGCTTGATTAGTCTCGGCAATGGTGCAACGTTCCAAAAGCTCACCACGTTGCTGGACCAGATTCCCGACTCTATCCGCAAGCACCCTGATTGCATTCCTAAACTCGCCGTCCTCGCTTCCATCGTTGACATTCGCACTGCTTAAATCAAAGAGGACCACAGAAAATTGTTCGGTCATTCAAAGCGTAAAAGACCTTAAAAATAATTAACCTGAATGCTCCTAGCGGACTTTAACGCACAAACACATACAAAAAACTATTAATAAATAAATAAATAAATAAATAAAGATAATGCACTCACCTAGAAAGAGAGACAGCCAGGGCACGAAGGGACTCCGCAAAACTGCTCGGATTGCCGGCGGGAGCAGTAATGCAGCTTCGTAAACGTTCCATCAATCCTCTGAGTCGAACACTGGTAATACGCAATGCGCTATACTCAGCAGCTCTTCGATCAGCTGCACAAAGGTTTGTTCGAGCCTCTTCTCTTGCTTCGTGCAGCCGGTTCTCCAGATGCGCACAATTCATCTGCAACATGATTACCAATTAAAAAAATTTAGAATTTGAACCATGCCGTAACTAAAGAAAGTGCCCTCAGCAGATGCAAACTTCAAAGAACAGATGGAGAATTGACAAAATACCATACCACACATAAGCCCCCAGCATTCTGCAGTGGCAAACTCAAGTTTACCAACCAACCTGGCATTCATTTAGAAGCTCGGCACTCTCATCCAACTCGCTAGTTAGTCGGGCAACCTCCGCTATAAAAAATTTGAGTTTATCATCGATGGCTATTAAGTGCTCGTTCTTTTCCAGCAAATCAGTTTGCAAGGCAGATTCTTCAAGCTCTCCATCCCTCAGAAAGGCATCTCCACCGTCAACATTCTTATCCAAAGCAGTACCTTGAACCTTAGCGCCAGCTAAAACTTCATTCAACTCCACATCATTGGTTCCTTGATCTTTTCCAGTGCTACCACCGTTCGGCGCATCAGGTAAACCTAAAATATTGTTTAAAAGCCGTCATGAATAATGCACCAAAGCAAATGTGCAAGGAAAACTAAATAATTAACTGATTAAGAAATTAAGAAATAAAAATCAAGACTGTCTTGCAACGATAATAGTGAGACAGAAAAAATCTCTTGGATCACTGAACACCATACTCTGTAAGAGCTACTAGATACTACAGAACATTTTATGTACCTTCGTTCCCGTCAACACCTTCTGCAGATTCCTCTTTTCTGGATTCCACCATGCCAGCATCCGTAACTGAGACTCCTCCTAAATTGGGACAAAGGATATTTCTGCGTTTTAAATTCAGCTCTTTTCCAAATAGCAGTAACTTCCTTAATACGTAAAGACTAACATAGGATAATTGTGGACCTTGTATCAGGGTCTTAAATATACAAAAAATTATAATCCAATTTTTTTAAATTGAAAAATACGTAAGTACAACATGTCCTTGAGAATGCTAATCCTAAAGCACAGAAGAAATCAATTCGCTTTTGTAGTAGTCCGAGGTAAAATGACAGGTCAAAAAGATAATGATCAAATACGGTCCCAACAACGTTGAAATCAACTACAAAATCAAAGATACTAGTAAATGAAGTGAAACGAAGGTTACAGTACCTGAAACGTCACTCATGACCTCATCTCCTCCCTCTCGAGTACCCTCTCTTCGGCCCCCACCAGAATCTGTCCTAGTATCAATACTAGCTGTAGAGTTAGCTTGCATATTGCTGACCATACCCTCGTCCATTGGTTCTGGAATTCCTACACCTCTCTGAACTCTCCCAACCCCATCACCAGTTATTCCAGAGGTCTCCGAAGAATCTTGACCCTGATCTGTCCTCTCTTGAACTTGATCGAATTCCTCTGAATCGTGACTTCGACGATGACCACGGTCATGCCTTTCTATAGAAGTATACTTCTGTAGTTGCATGTGCTGCTCAGCCAGGGTCTGTTCCAGGTCTCTTATGCGCTTCTCGTACGAATTACATTGCACCTGTCAAGATGTAAGAACTGATGTACTTAGAACCTTCCACTTCAGTAAGATACAACAAACAATAAGTGAAAGTAACAAAAACTATAAATCTAAATGTAAATAATTTTTGTCAACTTTCGTTATGTATGAAGAAATTGTTTATTTAGCTGTGACTGAAGAGCAGTGTGATCAAGCACAATACATACCTGTCGCATGGTTAACATATCTGTCAAATGTTTAGCATGTTCATCTTTCAAGTGCAGAGCCTCGGCAGTTTTCTGGGCTGCGTTTTGGGCCCTTGCACCCCTCTCCATCTCAACACCCTTCTCAGAGTCTTGACTATCACCGACACCTTCTTCAAGTTCATAATCTGAGTCTAGGTTACAAAGCATGGCTACAGCAGACGCCAGCTCTGACTTCAACCACGCATTTTCCACTTCCAACTTGCTGGTACCAGCTATCTCGTCAATTCCATTGGTATCTTCATCAGTGTCCAAGTCTTGTTCATCTTTGGTGTCAAGAGCACCTTCAGAACCCCCTGCGACGTAAAGCAATTCCATGAAAAAAATTACAGTGCATGAACGTTTTCAGAAGAAACATGAATATCTACTGTTCACTAACGAATAACCCCATGTTGATCCTCAAAGAAAAATGATATCATGATAAATCAATACAACTGCTACTCAGATACGCCAAGATAAGAGTCACCGATACATTGCAGTAAGAAATCTAACATATGCTTCAAACAAATGATAATCCTCTCTCCATGCTAGAAATGTGCAAAGTGCAAGGACATAGAATAACTTTTAGTCCAACAAGCAAGAAGACAATTAACAGATAGATTCGCTAGTTAAAAAAAAAAGGAAATAATCAATCCAAAAAAGAGGGCACTTCATAGAAGCAACTCCTCACCTGGTGATTGAGAGCCAGTGTAAGAAAGAGATCGAGACCTTCCACTCAGGTTTTGGTCGGGCCCTTTCATCAACCGTCCAACTAGGGACTCAGGAGCATACCGCTCGATATCGTTTACGCCAATGTCCAGAAGATTGGTGTCAAAAGGGGCAATATTTACAATGCATTGACTAGGATTTTCAAACAAGCCCATCGCTTGCAGTACTTCTCGCTGAATATACATACTCTGTATTCGAAGAAACTCTTCACGTCTGGCAACCTCCGCTTCCCTCTTCCTAGCCAGCTTCTCAGCCAGTTGTCCAGCCTGTAGTATACTCCGCCACCTTATCGTCAGTACGATTTCATGAACTTCATGCTACATATTCCGTAAATCCAAGAGACCAAATGTAAAAGCAAGTAGACGCCACGAGTGAAACCAAGTAGGAAAATAGATTCATAGAAGAAGCGCGATAGTAACTGATCATTCCATCAGATGCAACTACTGTGAAGCAACATATCAGACCTGATACAAAATTAGTGAAATGATAATGATAATAATAATCATAATAATAGGTACTTATGGCGTGAGAAAGACAAGAACGATTACCTGACCCATGTAGAGCTTCATGGATGCCTTACGTCGTACAACCTCAGCTAAGCATGCCTTGTATGAAGGACCAACCCGCCTAAGAAGCTTCAACTCTGAGAAATGATCGCTTTGACGAGCCATTGCTTCCTTGAAGACTGCCAGCTGGTTGCGCATGCCCCTTATATTAGACTGCAGAGCAGCTACATTCTGAAGCCGAGTATGAACGCACAAATTCATTTGATTTTTACTTTTTTTACTATGCTCTAAAAGGTTATCAAGTTCCATATCACATGCTTCCAATCGGGGAAGGTGGTTTTTATCGTGAACATCATACATTGGGCCAAGAGCAGAGACCGCATCATGAGGGCGTAGATTTCCGGAATATTGACCAGAGACACAATCGTCCACGAGCTTCTTCACAGTGTTGACATCCTTGCTGAAACACGGAAAAGAGAATTAATCCAAGAAATACATATTCTTGTTAGAAATTATATTCCTGCATTGAACTAATCGCCAGCCGAAATTCAGCTTCTAATACCAGAAAGAGGGATTCTAAACTCCCTGGGTCGCACAACCTTTGGGCACCGTTTAAATGTTGTAAGTGCAATAATTTAAGTGCTCGTTACTAACCTGAGAGATTGAACGATGCTAGATTGTTCTTCAGTGAATTGCATGTGATCATCGATAGTCTCCTCAAGAACGTGAACATCCACAGCTGATGGAGAGTCGGACAAATACTGTACATTTCGCTGTAAATCTACGTAAAGAAGCTTCAACTCAGCTACCTTGGACCCAAACTGTTTGTGGGAAAAGTTACATTGTTCAGCCCTTTCCCTAAGACTCGACTCTCTTACACAATGCAGTAAAGTTTTTCGGGTTTCGGTCTGAAGACTAGGATGCAGTTTGCACGCCCGTAATCGTTCTAAATCGCGCTCGAAATTTGCTAGCAGGTCCGAATGCTGCTTGTGCTGACGTGCATAGTGTCTCAAAAATTCTCCAAATTGATTGTCTATAACCTTGTAATAATAAGCAATGTTCCCCCGCGCAGTCTGAAGAGCCATTTCCTGAACCTGTTGTTCCCGGAGAAGCCGCCTGCAAATATCGAACTTCTTCTGGCTTGCACACAAAATCGCGTGGCCTTTTTGAAAGTGGTATTTGAATTGAAGCTCGTAGGACGGAAGAGCTTTCAAGGCAGGGTCACTTGCATCATCCAGAGGATGTCCTCCGGGCAGACTTGAAGGAACAGGAGGAATTTCCAACAGGGGCACCTCGGGATCTTCCGAAGGAGGAGGTGGACAATCAGCTACAAGACGTGAACGGTTATAAAGAAACACATGTCGACTGTCATCGGGAAGCTTGTAGACTCCCAGAGCGTTGTCTGACTTCAAACTTGTGTCTCCACAAAGCAGCATTTGCTCATGAAGAGGTATTCCAGTGAGAGAGACGAGAAAGTTCTGTATAACTCCTACGTTCGTAACAGGCTGGCAGTCGAAGTCAAAGGACTGACCGTTTTCAGCCACATGGATCAACATCTTGACGTGACTGAACAAACCCTTTCAATACACAGGATTTGCTCTCGCCTGTATTCCAAAACCAATGGAAATATAACTGGCAGATATGTACAAGACTATTTTATTCCACCAAATCTTCCTCTCTCTCGTTCTATCTCTCTCAATCGACAAGAGAAGCTACTGTCCGGGCTCTGCTGATTCTCAGCGAGAAGCTCCATGCAAACTGGCCGACCATATCTTTCTGGATGTGCAATGAAACCTCACTTCGTGATCACCTGCGAAGTCAATTACACGGGATCAACAATAAAACTTGATCGACCCTCTGTGTAACAACACATCCCTTCTCTCCTCCGAGAAAGACCTGAAACTTAAACACTGGATTCGCCAATCACCTTGACCCTACTATCTTGCTTCAATCAAGACAACGAGATCATGAGTGACACATCCATGATCTCCACCATCACTTAGGCAACACCTAATTACTCAAAATCTAAGTAATGCAAGTGGAGAAAAACGTCGGGTATTCTTAGGAAGGCTGTCCAACTCTCCTCTCAAACTCTATCCTCCTACCTCCAACCCCTCACGAAGGCAAGGTCATACTTCAGGGAAGCCAAGACAGTACATATATACAAATTCCTCCTCAAATGAGAGAGACTGGCTCCTGCTCGAAAAAAAGTATGAGAAGAACGTTCATGAGAAAACAAAATCTTCCACACCACAATGCTCACTCAAAATAATTAAACGACTAACGACCTGTAGTAAACTCCATGAAAATTACTGGGAAAGGTCAGAGTTTCGCCAGACGTAGATGTTTGGATGCATAGATACGCAAAGAAAAATCTGATCACAATTAGAATAAAAAGTAAAGGGTTACTTTCAAAAATTCCAAGTATGACGAACAGAGATAGTTAGTACGAGACCGAAGGATAAAAATCGGGAATGCAGTGATTGTAAAGCTTAAGAGCAGTATAGTTCAAATGTATGCATTCCAGACGGCATCTCAATGAAAATCAAGATATCAGACATCAACAAGGAAAATTGGACAAAGAAGGTAAATTGCAGGACATCTAAATACACAAGGTGCAGGAAGCAACAACTGCACAGAACAGTTTCTATACACTGACCTACCTGTTCCTATAACAATCCACTAAGACACTCCAGAAAGGCAAACAAACTATCTGAGAACAACATACAGAATCAAAGAATAAACAAGTAGACAAGTGAACCCAAAAATCACACCAGGCTTTAGCGAGGGTAAAAAGAAGCATTAAACCGTAGCTCCCTCTCACGCGAATTCCCAAGTCGTCAACCACTCTCCCGCCGATCGTTTCGAAGACATGACAACAGCCTCTAAATTCGCATCAAGGAAGATGCGGCGGCACAAGGAGACTAAGAGTGATACACAAGCATACTGCGAGTTAAAGCTACCACCTAACTCCAGTCATACTTCTAAAAATTGAACAAAATCGAAAGTTCAGGGCACCGTACACGGACATCAAACACTAAGTGTTGAAAGAATGTAGGATGAAAAGAGTCACGCAAGCTAAGGGCAATGTGCGTGCAACTTTGCACCAAAACAATAATTACGAGCAGCACTGCATGATCAAACCACAAAATCACTCGAACTCTTCTCAACTCGCAGGCAACAGCCAGCAATTGCGCAGATATGCAATTGGCCAAACGGTCAATGAACGTGCGAATTGCAGTTATTCACTTTTTCTATTCTCCATTTTCAACCACCTCTACCCTCCCTCCACGTTCCACGCAAAACCGCATCAACAACATCTCACAAACCTTCCTTACAACTTCCTACAACCACAATCCCTCCGACCAACCTTCCAGTTCCACAAACTCATCATGCTCCCGTCTGCATGCTTTCCACCCTACACTCACCCTATCACATCCACCAAAAATTACACGAAAAATACCTAATGCCGTAACTCGAAAAAAAAAAAAAACTCCATCAGAAAACTCTCCCAACCGACACTACATCAGACCGTTCCTTCCTTCCCTCCGCTCTCATCCTGCACCCATGACAACCACCGCCTCCTCTAACTCCTCTTTGCCTCCCTCCCTCTCTCTACCAACGCAAAATCCGCATCGTTCCCTCCCTCACCCCCCTCAAGTCTCTCCCACAACAAAATACACTGCCAGCCTTCCCCGGTTCCTTCCTTCTCTCTCTCTCTCTCGCTCTCTCTCTCTCTCGACTCAACCTCTTGTCTGAATTCTACAGAAAACGGTGGAGGAAATAAAATTGAAAACCCACGCAGCAACATAAGAAAACTGAGCTTCTTCTTCTTCTACGCCAGAGGAGCATCAGCAGACCTTGTATGTATCCTCACCGCACAAAGTGACATAGGCGGTGCAGCACCATAGCTGAAATCTCTCTCTGTATGACGTTAACTAATGCGAGGGAGCAAGGCACAAACCACACGGTACTGAGGAGGAGGAGAAAGAGAAAAAGGGGCGTAAAAGGAAGGACTGTCGAATGAGAAATGTCGGCACCGATGTGGCTGTGTTTTACCCACATTCGTTGAGAACCACCACTCTCCCACACATTACATAGGAAAGGCAAAAGGAACTTTTTATTACTTAACTTGGGTGTGTGCGTGGCAAACAGTACCTGCTTCCTTACACTAATCTCAGACAAACCCACCAAAGTCTTTCTGACTTTGCTTGCTTGCCTGAGGGTTTAGAGTTAATCTGAACTGAACTAAACTCAGTGGGATCGACTCCTTCTCTTACTGCAATTACTACGTCTCTCTCTCTCTCACTCTCTTTGTCTCTTTCTTCCTCCATTTTGGATACTTTTGACTAGTCACTTTCATTGACTGTGCTCATTGACGTGTGTGTGTCGATGAGCATCTGGGTTCGCAAACTCCCCTTAATGCCAAGAAACTCTTGCAACATCTTGACCTTCCACAACTGAAACCCAAGATCTGTGCATCTAAGGGGGGTAAAATTCACCTTCTCTCTCACGCACGCACACAAAAAACTTAACAAAAAAACGAAAAAAACAAAACTGTTTCTTTCTTTCTTAATTTTCCTTCTTTTTCCTTTTCCTTTGTTTGTTTGTTTGTTTGTTAGTTTTTTTTTTTTTTTTTTTTTTTGGTGGGGTACTGCCCCTTTCATATACTGTGAGGGATTGATGCAGCTGGTGATGGATCTTGTCATCAATAGGAGAAGGGGGGGCAGCAGAGGTGAACTCCATTGCACGCTACATTCACATCTAGTGTAATCTACATCATAGCAAAGGACACAAGAAGTTGTACACATGTATGCATACATATTAAAAACTTGGTTTGGAAGGATGGAGTTAAACTTTGTGTACAAGACATTAGATCTGTGACTACCTAAAAGAAAATAAAAGTAAATAAATCTTTTATGAAATATAATTTAAATAAAATATAAATGTATGTTAATTTTTTATTAAATAATACTAGATAAAGAGATTTTAAATGATCATTTTACATATAAATCAAATTAAAATACATAATATATTTATTTATTGGTGAATGATAAACGAATTGAATTTTTACTAAAGTAACCCATTCTATTTTAACCATCGTTGCATCCTTGAAGCCCCCATCTCTATTCCTAGTTGTTATTTGTTCCCAACTGATGCTAAGGACGGAAGTGGGGGACTCAGAGTGGGGGTGATGGTTGGCAACATGGAAATGGAGATGGGGTTGAAAGGGTACAATGATGGTTTAAACATGTGAGTCAATTTAGTAAAAATTTAGATTGCTTTATTATTTCCTTATATATATATATATATATATATATACTACTTTGATAGAAACTTTTTATTTTTTCAATTAATCATGAAGATTCAAACAATAAAATATAATAGAAGTTTTGCAATACTAATACTTTCAAATGGTAAAAAAATCACATTAATGAATACATGATTTAAAATCTTGAAAATATAATCTTTGTAAGCATTTATTTTTAAGTTTCTAAGATTTTATTGAATGTGTTTCATGATAAATTAATGTCTTTAATTAAGTCAAGAATACAAAACTTGTGAATATCTTATGTTTAGAAGAAATCAAATATATATATATATATATATATATATGAACATATATTAACCATAATTAAATACAAGTACTTATAATTAATTACATATTTGGATAGTTCAAATTTTTTAAAATTGCAGATTCTAGAGTTGGATTACACACTCATAAAATGACCATGTTAAATCCAGCATGATTTTGTCTCCATTATGTAAGGAAGCATAGTAAAAATATACAAATAAATACATTATAAATGTTAAAATTAACAGAAAAACTGTATGTACAATTATCATAGTATATTTAACACACATCATCAAAACAAATCACTAAGAAACAATTATTTTCCTTCTATTATTTTTTAAGCTTGAAAATTAGTTTAAATGAAATGAAAGAAAGCAGCTAAATAAAAACACATTTAACCAACAAAAACAACAACAACAACAACAACAACAGTGTTTTTAATTAGTATTGTTTAAATTGTGAAATTTAAAAATTTATGTATCTATGTTTATATTTTTGTTAATTCATTATTTTCATTGTGCAAGTAATTCTAAAAACTCATCAAAAAGACATGCAAAATAACAATTTTAGGAATACCTCGAAATACAATTTCAATTAAAATTTGAACAACAATTATATGAACAATTTGGAGAATATAAATACATTATAAATTTTTGAGGACTCTTATTTTGTAGCCTGATATATATATATATATATATATACGACAGGTGCAAGTATCATGATAATGTGCATAATAACATCTTCAATACAAATAAGAAATGTGTAATATAAGTTTACAAATGCCAACAAATTAATCAGTTTCAGTCATCTCCTTACCATCATTTTCATCAACTGCAAGTAATCTTGAGCATTGCTTGAACCTGACCAATCACTACAAACTTACTTATTTTGCAGCATCTCAAGGCAATCTTCAATTACAAATAAGGATATACAAAAGTGAGTGCACCATTAACAACAAGCTCTAAAACCTATGGGACAGGCACACAATACAGCAAGAAAGTGTGGGTTCAAATTTCAGGAAATGGACTCATTGGTGTGTGGATTTGGACCCTTTCTGAGCACAGAAGAAATTGAAGTGAGTGAAATGCTTAACTCTGATTGCACTAGAAACAATAGTCTTGAATTATCCTTGGTTAATTTAGCTGTTGTTGTTGTTGTTGTTGTTGTTGTTCTTCTTCTTCTTACTCTTTTTCTTTCTTTTTGTAAACAGTGGTGAATGACTCTGTCTGTTTGGATACACACCCAGATGATGGAAACCCAACACTCTGCCCCTTTCTGCTCATTCTGTATTGTGGAGTGGTTTGCAAGGTTTGTCATTTACTGCCCTGTGTGCTGTCAGAGGAGGTTGGGAATCTTCTTCCCAGCCCTACATGCATGGTGACTCACAAAAGGAGGGATATCTGGAAGTCATATTCCTCATGTCCTCTTTACCAAGCAAGTGAACTGAAAAAAGAAAAAAGAAAAGAATAAATGCGATCTCATATAGCTTGTAAATATTCTACTAAACTGTCCTACCACAACACAATCAGTTTCCATTCTATTTTTCATGGAATCCTTGGTATTGGAGTGTTATAGGGGATTCTAACTTTCACTGCATAATAATACAGCTGTTCGCAACTGCAATACTATAACAAAAATGGCATACAACGGAGATTTCACAGCTAGTCAGAGAAAGAAAGATATTTTTTCATTCATCACTACTTTGTGTTTGTTCAGAGTCCCATGAGTTTACCTTCTAAAACCTTTCTACGTTAAAACTGTATGGAGTGTTGGATGTGGAACATGTGTGGAATCATTTGAAATGAGCACCACACATAAAAATACAATTTTGTTTTGGAATCTGTCATTGCAGTGGAATTTACCAATTGAAGCACACAGATGCTCCATCCATGCATACTTCCAATTCAAACATATATATATATATATATATATATATATATTCAATTAAGTACATATATATGTCCGAAGAAAAAAGAAACAATATTTTTTTTGTTCATGCCTGATGACTATTTTCTTTTTATAAAATACTTAAAACACGAGAAGACTTGCAGATAGACAGATAGATACACTTGCACAGCATCACTCCCAACCAGTACAAAGCCTCATTCATCTCTCCTTGGGAGAAACCGATCTGCCATCCAGTTAAAGAGAAAAAAACAAAAACAAAAACAAAAAAACATAAAACAAAACAAAACAAAACTCGTGGTTTCCTCCTCCAATACGATTCGTCTGCTGAGAACTAAATAAACAATTTCGTAGACTGGAGCAGTTTTGGAGAGGCTCTCTGACAGCATCCAACATTCCACATTCAATCCTGTTCTAGATCCAAAAGGCGATTCAATCGCGCAGCAGTATCCACAGAACCTTCTCCATTTTCCTGTCCACAAACCCACAGTGAGCGCGAGATCGTTCACGACAGCTCGCCGGGAATCGGCATCTTCCCCAGGACTCGCGACTCAAAGGCCTCACGGATACCGAGTGAGTGAGTGAGTGAGCGAGTGTCCCCACAAGTTGGAACTGGCGGTCCCAATTGCAGCGCCCCCGATTGTTGTGGACTAATGAGCGGCTGCGAGGGAGGACCACACAAGGATTGATAGTTTGTGGGGGGATCGTTGTGGGCTGGCGTCGACGCCGATCCATGGCCATAGGCAGGTCGACGTTCTTCATTCCGTCGGGACAGACAAACAGACAGACAGACGAGCCAGCTCGGATCGAGGACCCCTAGAGATAGCTCCCCCATTGGGCAAACCCCTCGTTTCCGCCACGTCGGATCATCCCCATGCCATGTCATCGTCGCAGACACAAATCCTTCTCCGGGTCCGGTGCGGTCCGGTAGCCCTGACCGGTCGTAGCCGGTTTCCTTTTAAAATTTGTGCCATTGATAGGGCAGAGAGAGCCTTTAATCGGGCATTCTCACACTGATGTCTGATATCTGCACTCAATAATATGTTCACATGTTGTGCTGAGAGAAAAGCGATTTCTTACTTTTCCTCTTCAGCTTTTTTGGAAAAGTAACAAAGCATTTTAAAGTGTCTGCTTTAAATATGTGAAGTAGCCTCCATTCGTGGTGGATGAGAGTTTTGAGAGTGAACATGATTTTCACTCACAATTGTAGATTCAATCCTATTTATTTGTGTTTATAGTTTCAAACGATTGAGATTCATTTGTTAACCACAAAGTGTGTGTGTGTATATATATGTGTGCATATGCACACTCACACACTGCTCTATCAGCAATATTACAGGCAACACACACACAAAAAAATAAATAAATAAAATG